TATTGTCGGAAAACAAAACTATTAAAATTCCCCTTAGCAAAATGAAAAGTTTGCAGCAATATTGCAACGAGTTTTATTGCTGCTGATTTGCAGCCATATTGCAGTAAATTTGCTGCAAATTTGCAAGAAAAAAATGACAGTTTGCAGCAATATTGTATTCGCTGCTATTGAACAACGTTCGGAGAAACAAACAACTAAACGCAGTAACCGTCGAGCACAGGTCTACCTCCAACAGTGGCTGCGCCACCCAAATACTATTCTGCTGCCAATACTGTGGAAAATCCTGTACCGCCCACATTGGGCTAGTCTCGTACGAAAAAATTTGCCGTCGCCATACACTTATAATAAGTGACAGTAGGTGATGATGACTCTAAAATTTGCCGTTGCCGTACACTTACAATAAGTGACAGCAGGTGATTATGATTCTAAAATTTGCCGTCGCCATACACTTATAATAAGTGACAGCAGGTGATGATGATTCTAAAATTTGCCGTCGCCATACACTTATAATAAGTGACAGCAGGTGATGATAATTCTAAAATTTGCCGTTGCCATACGCTTATAATAAGTGACAGTAGGTGATGATGATTCTAAAATCTGAATTTGTTGCTTTTGGTCTACGGCAAGTTTGGGACAAGTTTTGATTTGCATATAAAATTATCGCCTGTACTTACTTTTTTTCCTGGTCATGTAGCTTATGAAAGTGTCTCTTTTGGATACAGTGTCTACGATAGCTAAATGAGTTCCTTCGTTTTCACACCGACGACGTGCATCGTCCCAGCTCAGTAGGGGAGTCTTGTAGAAACGAAAGCAGGAATTATCTAAAGGGACATAGTATTTTGGGCACTGCACTAAGCCTGTCACCAGTTGCATTAAAGCACTGAAGAAAACTCCCACTGGAAAAGTATGTATTGATACCATCATGATTGTAGTTGACGCCTTGCTGAGGTTCGCTGTTAGTTTTGCTCTTCCTTTTCAAGGGTACCTTTTTAATCGGTTCTTTAAATATCATGTTATTTATACTATTACTCACAAACCCAAAGAGCGATAAGGGCATTGCTGTTATCCCACGAAGGTCTAGTGAGATCACGTATGCCTTTTAAAGGTAAACTGATTTTGCCCTTTTTACCCCCTTCAAAAAGAGATAAATAACGACATTATTTATCAACCTTGAACTATTTCAGTTAATCTTGTCACCATGCACTCAAATGCAGCCACTCTGGTGGCCTGGTGGTGTAGGCTCCACTTCAGTACAGACCGCATTTATAAAAGTTGGGACAAGATACCTGTCGGAATAGCCATCAGGTGCCATGAAAGGAATAAGTAAAAGATATTAAAGTTCGAAGAAAAAACTTCTCTCTCGTTCTCTCTCCCGCAATGTTCAAAGTTAATCAAAAATTTATCTTTCATCTTTTCCCAAACCAGCCATTGATCAGAGCAAAAAATGTTCAGTGCCCTTAGCAAAATGAAAAGTTTGCAGGGGTTTGCAAAAAAAGTTATTGCTGCAAATTTGCTGCAAATCTGTAAGAAGGAATAGCAGTTTGCAGCAATATTGCAGAAGATTTGCAATAGGTCTGTTATTCCCTAAGGGTAGCTGCACATGTCCCCCTTTGGCCACAAGGCAGTGTTTTCTATTCATTGTCCTTACTGAGTAGAATATGCATAGGGGGGTCCATTTACGAAAAATGCGGTGCACGTTTTGGGCGGCTTTGTCAGCATACTTCTCTAAGTTTTTTCCAAAAATAACAAGAAGATGGAAAATAATGGAGAGTCATCAAGTTGGATAGTCTATGAAGCCACACAGAAAAGCAACAAGTTTCCTGTCCAAACAGGTCCAAACAGGCATCAAAAGGACGTAAAACGAATCATGAAATTGAATCTATTATTACAATCATGTAGTTAATCAAAATGATACATTGATTAATTGATGTCGAACCAACTATACATTGGTCATTTTTTGGTTATTATATATGATTATATATAGTAATAAATGGCTATTTTGCCAACAATACATGACAGAGAAACAGTAGGCCTATATGCAATTACAGACTGGACTACATATTATGGATATTATATAAGTTATCATAGGTTATTACCGTAAAATGTTACATGCACCTACTTTGTAACGAATTGAGGGTTTCATCATAGTAATATGCGACATTGGTCGATGTAGTAAGAACATTTTACATATAGGCCTATCAATATGTTCTTATGTGTGCCACACGGTGAATGTACTTTGGTAATCGTTTCGTAACAAACAACCTATGTCACTGAAGTTTGTCCAAAAGGTGAGGTGAAGGTCGAGTGTACAAGCGTGACTCCCAAAACTCTAATAATTCCTTCACTTATTCACTGAAAAATATTTAATATTTCACTGTCAATGTTTTTAAATGTTAATAGCTATTATAAAGCGCATTGTGATTTTATCTAATGCGCCATAAAGAATTCAGCATTACTTATTATTATCAATCATCAAAATCACGACGTATACAAAAATTGTTCATGCTATACTGTATATGATTTCAAGCCATCAAATTACTTCAGTTGAATCGGGCTTAAAAAACATCACACTCATTGTAAGAGTGTTCTGCTTGAATCAGTATTTCGGAAGGTCGTGATGCAGGTCAATTAGCAGTTACGAAGTTTGTTCTCTTTACACTTTATCAAACTCGCATACAGCATAGTTTAATTCATCACAAGGGACGACCCTCCACTGGAAAGCTGTGTTTCCGTCCATCACTGCACAGTTCTTGGTGCGGTCATTGGACGCAGGAAGGGTCAGACCTGTACCCCATTCGTTGTACAGGGTGACAACTTTACTCCCGTCACCGTAAACGAAAGTTCCTTCTTGTGCTTTGTCGTTAAGACCTGGTAATGATAAAGCATCAAATCATCTGCAATCACGTTATTCTAAAGAATTTGAAAGCGTGACTTGGTAAGGCCTGATCAAGGAAATTGCCATTCTTAAACAAACCTAGAATTCATTCCATAAAATTCAACATAGAAAACTTAATACTTTTGTCCGATATAATATCTGATGAAATTTGATGAGCATCTAAGAACAAGAGATATTCACATTATTATGGCAATAGCCATTCGTTGAGAAATGTAGGGACAAAAAAGAGCTATACAAAGAATACAAAACCTACCCATCCAGTAAGAGTTTGGGGGATTTAAAAAGCTGGTGACCGTTTTGTATGTCACTTTGTCCTTAATGTCCACCAAATGTGCACCAGGATGGACGCTTCCACACAGCTGTGATGCGTTGCTATGGGTAACCAAAGCTGCCGACGAAACAAACAAACAGCGTTTGTTTGCTTCTACAAATTTATCGGGGCACCTCTTGTCTAAAAGTTGAAATCAAAGAAACAATCAATATTTCGTGCGTTTTGTGCGTAGATCACTTCTTTACCACAAATGTCGTTTTTTTTTTATTACAGAGGAATACCTAATAAACCAATTGTATTGGAAATACACATCAGAAAGCCTTACCACAACTGTGTCCATAATGCAACTGCGAAAAATACTATGACTCACACACGCTGACTAACAATATTATTAGTATATATGTTACAATTCATTAATCGTTCTTTTTTAGGGGGAGAGGGGTATTGTATAATGCAGCAAAATAAAATCTTACAATGGACATCAATGTTTTCTAAATATATTTATGTGACATTTAATCTAAAAATAACAACAACAATCCTGTACGGCATTTAGTATCAGAGGCCATACGTAAAATCATGAAACAAAAGAGTAAATGGATCATTTCACAAAGATATTGCTGTGATTTCGTGTAATATATACATAATTTGGACTTGCCCCACTACTACCGCTTTTAAATAAAGTACTTTCCAATGTGAAAAGGAATTGGCAGTAATTAAAAAAAGTAATAGTAAACAGTTTTAAAATATTTCACAAAACATGTGCCTGTAGCTATACTTCTTACCGCAATTGTCTCCGTAAAATCCATTGTTACATGTACAGTTATAACTTCCCACAGTGTTGATACACTGCATTCCAGAACTGGGACATGCGTCATGATAGTTGCATTCATCAATATCTAAAAATAAAGGAACAGTGGTAAAGTGAAACAGGACAAAGAGCATCAATACACACGTTTAATGGAGATTAACAAAATACGTCTTAGTCGTATAAACCCTTACCCTACCTCTTGCGATGCGTTATAGATCATTTAGGCAAAACGCCTGATACATTCTACAGTATTAGGCATAAAATATTATTTATACTTTCTGCGGTAACAAAGCAATCCCACCTTATATTTCTCTACAAATCAAAATAGTTTTTTTTTTTCTTTCTATTCTCAGTATTACATAATGCCAACATATAAGTACCAACGCAAGAGCCTCCTTGAAAACCAGGTAAGCATTCGCATCTGTAGGAGCCTTTCTTGTTTACGCAGCGAGCATTAACTGGACAGACGTCTTCAAGGCATTCATTAATATCTGAAACAAATATGGAAATTCCATTAATAAGATTTATAATTATAATTTCTGAAAGCACGTTATATACATCCAGCGCTTCATAGACATTGTGTGTTTGTTGGTCGTCCGTTAGAGTCCACGGTGGTTTCCATATAATGTCATTTTAATTTCAATGAAAAGCAAAGTTATTTACTGAAGTATCATGGACATTGAAAGTGACCTATTATTTGTACATGGCAAAATCCATACATGGAAGTCAAGATCCAAATTACGACCAGATGAACAAATCAACTATGTCAACGTTTGAAAATTCGTAAGCTGACGTGTGTATTGAACTGAAACTTGGGGCAATTTTACACAATTGCATTTGAATAAAGAGCAAATGTTATGCTGAATATATTATAAATAATATCACTAATAACTATGATGGCTACCTCTGAAGAAAAACTACACCTATATTAATTCGACGTCTTGTGGGTAACGTTACGTTTCGTTTACCTGTGCATGTTCCATTCATGTTGGCTTCATAACCTGGCAGACAGTCGCAGTTGAAATCTGTACCATTTAGTATACATGGATGTATTCCACAACTACAACCTTCGTAAGCTACAGAAAGTATGGAGAGCCGTACTCATTTAATTGTACTTGAAAATGTATTTTCTTTTTTAAATGCCTAAATAACTGAAAGCAAATGGATGCTTTTTTTTACTATCGAATAATTAGCGTTTGTAATTAATTGATATCTCTTCGTTTTATATTTTCATTTAAATGGCATTTAAATGACATTATTGTAGATCTAAAACGATACACCAGAAAATGTACGAAAATCCACTCAGAAAAAATGCAAATATTATATTGTCTAAAATTCACGTAAAGATATAAATTAAGAGTTAATGAAAAATGAAAAATGTTATTTTAAAAGTATACAAGTGACTTTAAAACAAAACTTTACATAAAGAATACCCACTTCTGCACTTGGACACGTTTTTCACTCCAATTCTGTCGGTGGTAGTGTCATTGGGGCACTGCTTGCACTTCAACTGACCAACTTCGTCCTGATACTGACCAAATGGACACGCTGCGCATTTCTCTTCATCGACGTCATGGTATGTTCCTTCTGGGCAGGTCACTGTAATTGAAGCCCCAAACAGCATTCAGAAAGAATAGCTTTAAGTATAAACAACGAGATACTAGCGGGAAGTTACACACAAATTTTGGGGAAATGTATACGGTTATTTGATCTAATAAAAGATTCGGCAGAATTAAAATAAACATTTTATGGATCGACAACTGACGCACGTACGGCAATTAAACATTTTCCTGATGGAGCCCGGGGAACACACAAATGATGGCTGGGATATCCTTATGTTATCACCCTTTACCGGGACAATAACGCCATCTATTTTTAAGGATATGGTTTGGGACACTAGGGCTGATTTCATTGCTGCCGCCTGGGCGCTGCAAAACAAAATAGTAAACACAGTGATAAGTGAAAAATGGATAACTGTAACTTAAAAAGTCTTCATTTGCCTTAGATTAGCTAATTAATAATTCAATAACTCTTTAAAGAGTTACTTTAGTAAAACATTTATAAGGTTGTTACACATACCTATATAACAATTTTCTACCGTTGTGAATCGCTAAAAATGATATTGTGATACATGTACGTTCTAAATCGAACATAATTAAATGCGTGAAAATGCCCGGAATTCCAGTTACTTTACTGATAATTTTCATATATCGTTTGTCGGCCTATTCCCCACACCCTTCAAAAATATTGTCAGTATACATTTTGTAAGCTTTGACATTACTAATATTAGACTTAAAAGTAAATTGTTTCTTAAAGGACAATGTTCATGTAAAAATCCATTTCTCGAATTTTGAAGATACAGCACTCAATCTATACACTAGAGGTATGTTTTAATCGATCCCCGCCATTTAAAAATTATAAAAACAATCTATTAGTAGAAAAAAAGCGTTTTAGTAAACCTCACCTCAATATGCAAAAATGAAGCAACAGATCTGGGTCACGTGGTACTGTGACAACAATCACGATAAAGGTCTTTGAGACTCAACTGAGCTGCGTGGTGCATACAGACGGAGAAGTTAAGGAAAGTTGTGTTGAACGGAGTTGAGGAATTTTCGTTATGCCTCGGTGTGTTGCCGTGGGATTCACCAAAATTGCAGCTCTCGTTGACAATCTTTCTTTGTCTGTGACGGTCTTCCGTGACTTACTTACTAACTTCGGTGACAATAGTTGCGATGCTCTAGATCATGGTCACCTCAGGTGGTTTAGATCATATCAAGAGCTGGTAGTCTTTCAGATTAACTGTCATCAGTTGGCAAACTTACTGATTGCTGATGCATTTTAAATGCATTGTAGTTGACCAAAAGCTCGTTTACAACAAACCTGTTAATTATGCACCGCTGCAATTCCCAAGCCAGGTAATAACAGGTATGAAACTCGTCTTGGTGGGCTTTCATATTTTTCAATATATCTCATTTATTTCATGGGGTTATTTTATTGGTATTTGTAAATGACGTTAAATATCAATACTTAAACAATTAAGTTCAAACACGGTCGCGAACATTAATAAAAGAAATTGCTCTCAGGGTATCTTGAAGCTTCCGTGGAAGAAAACGTGTTGAGGAAAAACAGGAAAAAGAGCGTTATATTAAAGAAAAAATGGGAACTGCTATAATAAAATGGTTCGTTATCCTAATTCGTTTATGCTTTGAGGATTTGTTTCTGAAGATTATTTCATCTGAAATATTAAATAATTTAAAAGATTGATTATTTTATAACTTGAAACGCAAATTCTGCGTCAGTACGCAATTTTTTTTATTTTTTTATTTTTTTTTTTTTTTTGCAAATTTGTAAGCTTATAACACCGTGCTATAAAGATCTACTCAAGAAAAAAATTTGCTTGGGTAAAATTGAGTACGGAATGAACTGGAGACACTTGGCTTGTCATTAAGTTTACACGAAAATATGTCAGGTAACTTTATACTGTCTTTGAAAGAGTAAAGATTGAAAGATAATTTTAGACAAACTTTGACGGGGGAAATACCTACAAAGAGTAATGGGCTATTTCGCCAACATCTTGTTGAAAATTTTACACTGCAATTCTATTCAAATAAGCTAAGGAACTAATTGCCAAATTAATACTCTCATCACATAACAGGGGGGTAACCAGACCTGCAAAAATTGTACGCACATATTTAAAAAGATTACAAGCACATACAGCAAAATGTAGACTTACGCAAAACATGAAGGACAGCGTAATCACAGCAAATGTACCTCATATAGTAGCTTAATTTCCATTAATAATAAAATCATCATTTAAGTCAAAAATATTCTTGCGATTTAATAACTATTTTAATTTACCCAGAACGGTATATTTATTTTAAAGGCGGTTAACTGAAATATAGTTTTATGATTTGTTTGTGAAAATTGCCCATGTCACCCTGTTAGTTTGGAGGTCTAAGCTGGATCAAGTCCGTGTTAAAATTCCTATGAAGTTGTGCAGGAAAAATTCTTCCTTTCTTTCTCTAGCTCCTCGATAAACCTGGTGTTCAGATTTTATCTAGTACCCCCAGGTCTACGGGAGCTGCGCTTTGTAACTAACGCACAGGTAGATTTTTACCTGAGATAACTGGAGTAAAGCTTAGATAGAGAGTGCGTTCGATACAAGCAAGACAAATTGAATGCCATTTAACCCTCTAATTAAGAGGTAAAGGAAGTTCCAGTTAGATGGATGATTAAGATAGGACTTGTAAAGGTAACGGGCATTGTTTACCTCAGTTTAATAAAAGTATGCAAGACGGAGTGTCAGCGGTTTAATAAAATAAATTGAATTTCACAAATAACATGGACCTCATATGCAATAATCAACATTTCCCTTAACTCATTCAAATGCAGTGTTTTATACAACTTGGGATAACCATAATGAAATGCTTGTTAAAGAAATGACTAGACGGGAAATGGTTTTACACAGCTTCACGAGGATTTAGACCCCTCGGGTAAGAGATTTGAATGAGTATAAATTTTTATCAGAAGCCAGAGAAGTCATCTTACAGGTAGACAATGCAGCTCAGTTTGACAGCTAAGCACGCTCTGTTCTCCAGTGGCTCGATTGTCGTCATTGGACCACGTGACCACGTAGCTCATTAACTCCCAGGCCGAGCAAATAGGACGTTTTTTAAAGCCAAAAATTTACAAAATGAGCTTTTAATTTGTGTATTTGGATAAAGATATCGTTAGTTGGGCATGTTTTCTGAAGAATATGTTCCGTTCAGGCCATTCTGACGGCATGAAGCAAACCCTTTAACGCAACAGAGGAAAGGGAATTTTGGTTAGTGCATGATTAGCTTTCATTTGGCTTATATTTTTTCGTAATATTCTGTAGAATTTGGAGATGAAGAGATAAAGTTTATAATTATTATTACTCTTGAAATAGCACTGATAGCTGTATGCGGAACAATGTATATACACTGTGAACCACGGTTTGTTTAAATTGTTGTTGTCTCCTAAACTGACACGAAAACAAAGCCTATCCTCAACGTCTAATTAAAAACAATCGCTATTCATTCTAAAGGCGTAGTTTGCAACACATTTACGTTGCTCCAGTTCTGTTTCCTACGTTTAACTCTGGACAATGAAAAAGACGCATAGTATCACAATATAGTCAAGCAATATAGACATACCGTCAATGCTCGATTTAAACAAGATATCTTACCTCAGATGTCTCAGGTTTTTGGACAGTGCTACAGTGGCGGACTGCTGAGTGGCCAAGGGTCCCTTAGGGACGGCCGCGTAAAGGTTAATCGTCATTCTGAATAGTTTTTCTTGGGATATTGCTCGTCTGAGAGAGCTTGCGTGCATCCTTTTAATTTGTATGTCTTTTATCTAAATGAAGACAGTAATTTTTTTTTTTTTTTAGCTTAGAGTAATTAATAATAATAATAATAAGTAAGATAAAAACGCATTGCAATAACAAGTTCAAAGCTGTGAAGATTCTCAATGAGCTGTCTTATTAGCTTATTTTACATTAACTATACTTGTTATTTTCGAGTTAACGACTGGAATTCACAGGTTACCTCACATGGATCAGTGCAGACGTTCAGTTTGCGTAGTTCCTTTTACATTTCCGATATGATTTTCTGCTTCAACACTTCATCAGATTCTATTGAAGCCATGGTGACTACGGGTCCGCTAATACCCAACATAATCTTAACCAGTTGCCCATCAGTGACTGGAAATGGTCACTTGTCATTAAAACAGGTTGGATTTTTATCTGTTTTATCTTTGATTTAAAGTGCAGTACAATGTCCCTAACAGGATAGGTCTACTGCAGAATGTCTTAATGTTTACATCAAATGAAAGGCAAGTTATTTGAACTGGCAACAATGCATAATCAACGCACTGTGTAATAAATACAATAATAAATACATTGCTTCTATACTATATCATGCCAAGTGCATCTTTTTTTCTACGGCTCTGCCTAAGATCATATAGATGGATGCAAAATCAAATGATGAAAAGAGAACATAAAAGCAAAACAGGTCATTGTCATCTGATGATTCACCTTTACACTCCCCATTCTCAGCTGTCGTGTAATTTCCGCTTTTATCACGGACCTTCCATCCCCATCCAGTTTGGAGTCCACATTCAAACACGCTGCGGTCTGACATGTAATTGTAACCCTTGTCACATCGAACGTAGCAAACTTTATCGAGTTCGTTTCCTGAGCACGATGCGAAGCCATTATCAGGAACTGGGACATCACTGATGCTACAGCTGCCATCAGCTAAAAGTAATTGTACCAGTAATTGGCATCGGGAGCATCTAGAGACTGATTTATTTGAAAGATATCCAACCAAAATAAACAACACACTTTCAATAAAACCCTTTTAATTAAGTAATTATTTCGTCAAGATGAAAACTTTTACGAATCTATACTTTTAAGTCTAACATACCAAAGCTACACATGTATCTTTGTAACCTATTTCGTCACATGGCTCCGATGTTCGATGGTTGCACTTGCGTTCGACACTGTAAAATTCGTAATACATTAGAAGAGGTCATTAAATCCACCAGGAGTTGCGACTAATCACTCTGAACTGGTACATAGAAATATCTTATCTTACGTTCACATTTAGGCAGGGGTATATACTTCCATTCGTAGGGTGACGAGCAGACGATAGGTGTGCTGTTTGAGGACTTGTAACCTCTGTCACACAGATAGTTGACATGGTCACCATAGCACAAGGAGGCAGACGTGTCGGGATATCCGTTTAGGATGTAACGTGCCGTTCCACAGCATTCTACCAACATTGAAAATATTCTCAACATAAGCTCCAATTTCCAGGATTCCTTTTATTAGTTAATAAGTTAATAAGCTTCAGTGATAATAATTACATACTTTGGAACGAATTACTTATGAAACCGCTACATGTACGTTTTGGTCTTGTCACAAGAGTATCATGCTGAATGATAATAGTATTCATTTTACTTTTTCTTTCACTTACTTTTGCACTGTGGCTCCTCGTTTGTTAAGGTACCGTTTGCCTGACATGTTCTTGTCAGGCTCCCGCTGATCAGTTTGTGTTCTGGTAGACAGTGATACTTCACGTATTCGTTTTCATATATCCTGGCAGCAGATACCGAGGTTGTGGCCCCAGGAACATTGTGTACCTGACAGGCTAAAATGATAAAATTAATTTAATTTTAGTTGATGAGTGTCAACAGTCATTACAAAATGTTTTCTTCGATCTGACAAATAGGTCATTTGCAAATTCTCATTTGTCCTGCGACAGAAGAGCAAGAAAAATTATAAACTTTATAAACTATGCCACGTTTTTTTTTATTTCATTTGAAGTTTATTCTATCAAAACACATTAATAGCTTTCTCAAGAATAGGACTATAGTGGGAAAATACATTTTAAAGTGTTCACCATATTAGGAACAATGTCCGGTTTTAAAGCAAGCATTTATATATAATATGCAACTTCTACACGTAGATAAAAAAAACTCGGCAGAGATAACCTGTCACAGCCTATACTTACTAGGACACTGTGGAGGATAACAGACTTCAGTTTGTCTGTCAGCTCCAGGGCAGGGTTTACCGGGTCCAACAGGTGCTGGGTTATCACATATACGAGTGCGGGACCTCAGACCTTGAGAACCGCACGTTACAGAGCATGAACCCCAGGAACCCCAGGAACCCCAAGTCCTAACTAAAATAAAGTTTACAAACAATTACTCAATCTGAATTGCAGTATTAACAATCAATTTTTGTGATTAACATGAACTCCAGGATCCCCAAGCTCCATCTGGAATAAACCTCATGAAATAAATAGCAGAATAAAATTTAAAGATTCAGAGCAACATTGATATTCATTAAACACTCAAGTGATTCAGAAAACTTTAAACAAACCAAGAATCTTAGGTTCATATATCAATTCAACCTTATACACTTTTGAACATTTACATATCTTATATCTCATGTATGATATGTGTCCTATTTTACAAAATAGACTCTCCAAGTTTCTTTGTTCCTGAAGACTATGTTGCTTCTTATCTATGTCTGACTTATCTTTATTACAAGCTTTTTTTTTTACATTGTGTGTGCACACACTTTTTATTCAGTACTTGAAATGTGCCCGTTTAAAGGACGCGTACGGCTCTTCACTGAGAATAAAATTGGATTCATTTGACTCCTTAGTTAGAGTCCAGCACCCCTTGACCCTCATGGAGTTAATTTGACTCCTATATAAGGGTCAAATACCCCACCACCAGAGTCTTTAGACTCTCTTATCAGAGTCAATCACCCCCTGGCTCTCGTGGAGTCAATCTGACTCTAAAATCAGAGTCAAATTACCGGGGGCCAGTGTCTGGCTGACCCCTTTCACCGACTCTTTTCGCTCGCTGGACAGTAACCCTCGTTTCATTACTTGGGATGGCAGTGAGCAGACGGCGCGGAGAGAACAGTTTTCATCATCCTTTGTCAGTATAAACATTACTTTATTGGTCATAGTTGGTTTTATGCATCAACAAGTGGTTTTCTGTGTGTTTCTGCATACAGAACTCGTACACTTATTACTGGCCAGGGCTTTCAGTTGCCATACCCGGCTCTGGAGCGGGGGGACGTGGGTTCGAACCCCTCCGGCGACAAATCAGTCTTTAATAAACGATAACTGCTGCCTCTCCGCCTGGCACTGTTATTGTTGTTCTTTTGTTAATAATGTGCCAAGGAGTCAAAAATTCCTTATTATGGGGTCATGGTGAGTCTTTTGTAGAGAGGGATGAAGGGATGTGTGAATGGAGTCAATTGTGACCCTCCTGTGGGGTCTGGGCTGGCGTTACTCCATCGGAGTCAACTTGACTCCAATTGGGAGTTATTTTAGGCACCACTGCTGGACTCCAAGTTTGGAGTCACTTGGACTCCGATTTTATTCTCAGTGTTAGATTGTTTGGGAAATAAATTGGTAGAACACACAGTTTCAAAGGGTAAAGTACACACATTGTAAAAATAAATACATTGCCGATTACAGTATTTGAAAGAAAGAAACAGAACTTACATTGTTACGATAGCAATACTTCTTTTACACAACATTACGGGAGGCAGAAGTGGAAAAGCAGTTTTTCAAGTTATCTTTAGCTCCAACAGTGTAACTTACATGTGCATGGAAATAATTTTACCTGGATAAGATTCACATATATAGAACAACGCTGAACTGCAGCTTATGTCATTTAATCCTAATATGTGACCCTCAATCCAAATATGCATACAGTCTTGCCGGCCAGAGTCATTGGGTTCACCAGGCAGCCACAACGAACTGTCTATGGGTTTGTTATTAGAGTACCATATCCAGTTTCCATCATTCTTGGGCTCTATGCCGTCAACCCAGTAATACGGAGACACTAAAACACATAAGAGAAATCATTCTTCGACGATAAGTTTTTTTTTTTTTTTTTTTTTTTAATTTTTTATGAAAGATTATCTGGCGCATAAATATAATTTTACATAAAGCATTTATCTATAGGAGAAATATGCTTATTTACTATCAAATTGCCCTTGGGATTTTCTGATATCATGATGCTTTGCGTAAAGTTGATGGAAAAATACCAGGCAGGCTTAATGTAACAATAGGGTGAGCAGAGACTGCGAAATAATTTGAGCACGTATCCAAAAACCCGATGGATTAATCTGAGCAAAATGACGGAATGTCCCATAACCCATAGTCTGTTTACAAAATGTAAAGGGCAGGTTAAGCCTTTTAGTTTGTATGTGATTATTAGGATATATACATTTCTTGAAATAGATGGTATGAAATACGATGCCTTTTTTTTCTGAACTAAGTTTTAATCAGAATTTTGTGGTAAAATAATTTAACTTGGGTGAGGCAAATCCCCCCCCCCCCCCCCCCCCAAGTACTTACTTCCTCTGCCAGTCATGTAGCTTATGAAAGTATCCCTTTTGGACACCGTGTCTACGACAGCTAAATGAGCTCCTTCGCTTTCACATTGACGGCGTGCAGCGTCCCAGCTCTTTTTTTGAGACCTTTCAAAACGAAAGCAAGACGATTCTAAACGGACATAGTTGCTAGGACACTGCACTAAGACTGCCACCAGTTGTATACAGCAAGTACTGAGAAAACATCCAGTAAGGAAAACTCGCATCGGCTCCATAAATACAGTTTCTTTGTGCTATATATACAACTATAACTAGATGATGACTTTTGCGCCTTCCTAACACAAGCAAACGACAAGTTTGTCATCTGGAGTCGATATATGCTTTTAAGAAAGATACGACCGATACGGGAAACAGGTCATGTTGAATCATATTTATACTTCGTTCACTGCGAGTATGGTGTTCTTTTGGCCTTTTTGTAATCTAGAAAGAGATAAATAATGACCTTTTTTATTTTTGGAACTTAAGTTTGATTTAAGTCTTGTCACCATTTCTGGACACTCAGCCACTTGAGACAAAAAGAATTAAAATTTTTTGGTTACAGAGAAAGTAACAAGACAAGGTAGCCACTAATTGAATCAGTAGTCATGTTGATGCTGAGACGTTTCCTAATTTTGATGAGGAAAAGTGAAATTATTTATCAAGGCTTTGAAATTTTTCCGATGACGGTCGGTCATTTCCCTTAGACCTGAAAACAAATTCTACTTCGTTGAACGTCTATATAAAATCAAGATAAGACTTCTAAAACGATATAATTCCCTGGTCGGAGTACTGGGGTTAGTATATGAATGTCACTTGTATAAAGTAATGGGTAGCAGGCTGCGGCTCCTAGCGGACTTCCATTCCTGTCACATCGGAACTGAAAATAAAAGGCTATACGTACATTCATTCATTTACTTTTTGACAATGTAATATGTGTATGTAAAACAACCAGGTCTTCGGACTGTGTAGTGCTGCCATTTAATGGTTTTAGACGTCTTATCTGGATTTTATATAGATATCGATATAATTCCCTGCTCCGACTAACCTTTGCATACTGCATGCCAGACAAAATTGCTAAGGAGTCGAAACTCTCAATATCATGCCGTAAAATTAAAAAGGTCCGTTGAATAACACAAGTTTTTGAAATTAAGATTTAAAATAGACGATACCATTATTTTATCTGATAGAAAGGAATGTGAACGCTGAGTACATAAGGGGGCAAAACGTCTGACATAAACCGTAGTGGCTATGCCGGGGGGCCACGACCCAATTTCAAAAGAAAGGGGAAATAAAAACTTTTGCACGCCTTCGGTGGTTGTCAATTCTCTTAATTTAAGGCTCTATTCCCATAGATTTTAGATCGATCTATCCCCGCGGGGAGTCTCACTAGATTACTTTCAGATAATCCGACTTAAATGTCCGTCCCGCCTACTACAAGCTGTAAGGGGTTATTAACTTTCGTGTCCGCCCGGCTGACAGCTATTTAGCGTGAACCCCCAGGGAGTTAGGTCGATCTAAAGTAGGTCGATCTAATCTATGGAAATGGGGTGTAAGTTTCAAAATTTAAGAGCTTTTTATAGTTGCATCTTTTTATCAACGCGTTCTTATGATAAGTGTCTTCTCGGATAGAAAATAAAACACTAAACAAATATAGCATATTGATTTATTTTTCAACTCAATTCAATGTATAACAGTGATGCCCGTCACGTAGATAATCTAATAACTACTGCACTGCCACATGCATTGTTAACGCACATGAACTTCACTGCCGTCATCAATGTAAAATAGATATAGGCCTACGCAAACCAGACAATGAGTGGTGTATTGGGTTTCTATACTACCTCCTTAATACCGTTTAGCACTCGTTATTACTAATCATTGATAATTCCACCATTACTATTCACTGTCGTGGAGCCAGGAAGAACAAATGAAAAACACTGTTCACGTTTGGATGACTGCATGAGCACATTCCCTAAAGTATTTTTTAAAAATGATAAGAAGATGGCTAATTATAGAGTGTCATCAATACTCTATAAATAACCTATAAAGCAGCAGAGAAGAGAAGAGAAGCAGGTTTTGTGTACGAACAGGCATCAAAAGGGCGTGAAACTAACCATAAATTGATTTTTTATTACAATAAAATCATGTAGTTAATCAAAATCATACATTGATTAATCTTTATTAAACCAATTATACATTGGTCAATAGACAAAACGGTTATTTTTTGCCGGCATACATGACAGTGAAAAAAGTAAATGAAATCGCAGACTGAACTACATGTTACGGATATAATGTAAGTTATCAAAGGTTATTTCTGTAAAATGCTACATGCACCTACTTTGTTTCGAATTGAGGGTTTCATCAAAGTAAAATTCACCATTGGTCGATGTAGTAAGAACATTTTACATATATCAATATTTTCGTATGTTCCCTACGGTGCATGTACAAACAACCTATGTCACTGAAGTTAATCGAAAAGGTGAGGTGAAGGTCGAGTGCATAAGTGTGACTCCCAAAACTCTAAGAATTCCTTCACTTATTCACTGAAAAAGATTTTAAAATTTCACTGTCAATGTATTTAAATGTTAATACATGTTATAAAGCGCACTGAGATTATAAATGCGCCATTAAAGAATTCAGCATTACTTATTATTATCAATCATCAAAATCACGACGTATACAAAAGTTTGTTCATGCTATACTGTATATGATTTCAAACCATCAAATTACTTCAGACGATTCGGACTTAAAGAACATCAAGCTCCTTGTACGAAAAATGAGTCTTTTTCTTGATTCACTATATCGGAAAGTCGAGATGTAGGCCAATTAGCAGTTACGAAGTTTATTCTGTTTACACTTTATCAAACTCGCATACAGCATAGTTTGATTCATCACAAGGGACGACCCTCCACTGGAAAGCTGTGTTTCCGTCCATCACGGCACAGTTCTTGGTGCGGTCATTGGACGCAGGAAGGGTCAGCCCTGTATCCCATTCGTTGTACAGGGTGTCAACTTTACTCCCGTCACTGTAAACGAAAGTTCCTTCTTGTTCTTTGTCGTTAAGACCTGGTAATGATAAAGCATCAAATTATCTGCAATGACGTTATTCAAAAGAACTTGAAAGCGTGACTTGGTAAGGCCGGACCAAGAAAATTGCCATGCTTAAACTTTGCGTCAAACCTAGAATTCATTCCATAAAGTTCAACATACTAAAAACTAAATACTTTTGTCCGACATAATATCTGATAAAATTTGATGAGCAATATAGAACAAGAGAAATGCACATAATTGTAATACGTTAATACGTATACGTTGAAAAACGAATATAAAAAAACAAGAGTTAATGAGTACACAACCTACCCATCCAGTAAGAGTTTGGTGGATTTAGAAAGCTGGTGACCGTTTTGTATGTCACTTTGTCCTTAATGTCCACCAAATGTGCACCAGGGTGAACGCTTCCACACAGCTGTGATGCGTTGCTATGGGTAACCACAGCTGCCGAAACGAACAAACAGCGTTTGTTTGTTTCTATAAATCCATCGGGGCATCTTTGATCTAAAAGAAGTAATGAATTAAAGAATCAACATTTTGTCTGGCTCTTTGTATTTCCGTCAACCTAATCACCTAGAACAATAACAGTCTGGCAGTATTAGTGTTCGAGTAAAGTAGATTTACCTGCAGATAAATGTATATCAGTGCTTTGTTAAATTTACAGCACCATAGGCCAAACTAACCACCTGAATTCGACTATATACCCAAGGCAGTCTTACCGCAATTGTTTCCATAGTAACCAACAAGACATGCACACTTGTAACTCCCCACGGTGTTTATACACTGCATTCCAGAACTGGGGCAGCTGTCCGGGTACTTACACTCATCGACATCTGTTAATGATATTAACAAAAAAAATTAAACAATCAAACTGTAGCATAGAAAGGAATTCAATTCCTAAATTACCAATCATGTTTGAAAGTTTGAGAGACAGGAACAAGGAGTACATTTCTGAAAATGCTCAGCCGCGTTTCCTTTTTTCTCAGCTTTAAGAGATGATGTATTTAAACAGCAACATAACCTTAATCTATACAATGCACATACATGTAAGGAGGGAAGTAAGAAAATTAATACATATACGACACCCGTATTAATGAAGAAAACACACCTGTACAGAAATTCCCATCGTAACCAGTAAGACATTCACACCTGTAAGACCCCTCTTTATTGATACACCTGGCATTCACTGGACATATGTCACTGTTGCATTCGTCGATATCTATAAAATATACGACACGTTACCACTCCTCATCAAGACGAAATCATGTTCTTTCAAAATCAGTTTACTCGATCGAATCACACTAGTCCATAATATAGCATACATACGTTTTGGTTTTTACTCACATTGTCGTTTAATTAATTCTGTAGTGTATAAAATCTTTTGAATTTGTTAACATTAAAATGTGTTTTCAAATATCTTGTTAAAAGATGATTGTTTGTCATTACCTTTGCATGTCCCATTGATGTTTTCATAACCAGGAAGACAATTGCACTCAAACTTGGATCCATTTAGTTTGCACGGGTGTATTCCACAGTTACACCCCTCGTACTCTGAGAAACCAAACAGATAACGTGCATACAAAATATATGTCAATAACCACATTGAATTACAACAATATTAAGCAAATATCCATTGCCTAACTATCCAAAATACCCAAAGACTATCGGATGTACCTTGGGAGAAGTTATGTACGTAATTTACAAACATTGCCATTCTGCTTAAAATAGTTTTTTTTTTAATTTAAAAACATCACCTCTGCAGTGTGTGACGTTGCTGATTCCTAATCTGTCTGTGGTGGTGCCATTCGGACACAGTTTGCAAGACATCTGACCGGGTTGGTCCTGATACTGACCAAATGGGCATGACGAACATTGCTTTTCATCTTTGTTATGATACGTGCCAACTGGGCAAGTGACTGAAAGAGATTAAAACGACATATTTGTAAGTCTTAAAACATTTTTGTTGAGTGATACAATACAGCTTGCGTTGCACTGGCTACGAAGTTAGTACACAGCTGACAATTTTAAAATAAATTTTGTTCCTGGAAAGTTTAAATATCCATTTTGATAATGATACGTACAGCAATTGAAACCTTTCCTAATGGAACCTGAAAGACACGTCAGAAATGGCTTGGATACCCGGATGTTGTCCCCTTTCAGCCTGGCAGGTGCTCCACCAATTTGCAGTACAATCGACCCGGATACGATTGCCTGCTTAAAAGCGTCCGCCTGGATTCTGCAATACATTATTTCATAATTTGTCTCAGTTAATGGGGGAAGTATGCTGTCCAATTGATTTTCATAAATGTTAAAAATAGTTTATAATTTATTTATGCCATTGTTGATATTTCATCTGTTTAGAAGAAAATAAGTTGATGTATTTTGTAATGTAACGCATATGCAGTAAGACTGCGTGGCTTTTGGTGTAACATACTTCAAGGATTTGAGTGCCTTGGATAGTTCTATTCTTGCTGTCTGCTGACTGGTGACAGATCCTTTCGGAGGGGAAGCATAGAACGCTACCTTAATACTAAACAGTCGTGCCTGGGAAACTACATCTCTGCGCACCAAGCTCCTTGATGCCTCAATTGTAATGTCTGTAATCTAATTCAGATGGAAATTGGTTGTTATTTTATAGAGAGAGATTCGCTCACAATAATGCGTCTTTTATTTCACTTGCACTTCAGTATAAAACCTGGCAATGATTAGTTTACCGTATATGTTGATTAGGCTCTACAGAAACCCATTTGTAATTACAAAAAGTTATAGCAAGATAACCCAAGTTGTCAATTTATTTTCAATGGTGTTGGAAAAATGACATCATTCTTCAACTTACTGTGCAACTTGCGGTGCAGATATTAGCATCAGCAAGTTTTTGTCTCATTTCTTTCATAATCGATTCCTCCAAACTCTCTTCCGGTTCTGTCGATGTCGTCTCAGTTTCCAAACCCTCAACCCATGCAAGGAATCCAGACTCGCTATCTGACACTAAAATTCAGGCTTCATGAGACATATGTACATGTATTTTATACGGGGGCGTCTCGATAGTCCAAGTGTTCATTGGTCCGAAGGTTTAATGGTAACATTTTGTATCGGTTTTTTAACCAAGGGTTCATTGGTCTAAAGGTTCTAGTGAACTTTCGGATAATTCAGCCTTAATTCGGACTATTGAAACTTCGGACTATTGCTACGGCCCCGGTCATACTAGTGTACTATTGACGGATGTGTTTAGAACGTACGCCTCATTGTAATTCGTGCGATAGATTATGGCTGCTCACCTTGACACATTCCTACAGCGCTAGGCATGTAACCAGCTCCTCCAAGTACCCTTACTTGCCACGCCCAGTCTGTTTTGACGTTGCATTCAAACACATCAGACCCACCGGTGTACGTTTGACCATCGCCACACCTCATGTAGCAGGCCTTTCCTGTGCCGATGGCGCTGCAAGCTTTATGGCCACCCTGCGGGGGCTGGATGTCATTTGGATCACAGTCGCCAGTCGCTGTAAATGATGATGATGATGACATGAATAAGATGTATACAGGAATGCATGGTTGTATGCATATCCAGAAATGTTATGTGACCGTGGCGATATGAGCTATAATCATTTTAGGGGTGCTTTTCTGTGAAATGCGAGTACTTTCCCTCTATATATGGATGTCATACATGCACAATACACTGTCACTCTCTCGAGATATATGCCTTCAACACCTGTCTAGCTGACGCTCCCCGTGTTCTGGCATATGTCGCTCGGGTGACTGTGCATTATCTCCAACAAAACACAAATAGTGTCAAGTTTCTCCAGTCGATTTCAGTCAGCCTGTTTAGTTCAGGAATATTTTTTATATTTAATAGTTAAATGTTTAATCATCAAAAGGAAAATTTTGCCAGGAATCTGCCAGGAATCACGAGGCAATTATTTCAACCTGGTAGATAGAAATATCTTACGTTCACATTTAGGCAGGGGTATGTACTTCCATTCGTAGGGTGACGAGCAGACGATAGGCGTGCTGTTTGAGGACTTGTAACCTCTGTCACACAGATAGTTCACATGGTCGCCATAGCACAAGGAGGCAGACGTGTCGGGATAACCGTGCATGATAAAACGTGCCTTTCCACAGCATTCTAGAAAGATTAAAAACCGTATCAGGCATAAGTTTTGATATAAAATGGGTTTCGATTATCCAAGACGGTCGATTCAAAATATTTGTGCTGAGTGTCTGACACAACTTTTTAATAATTCCAAACTATTAAATAATTCCAATCTGCATAACTTGGTTATCACTTCAATCTCTTTTATCCATTCACTTACTTTTGCACTGTGGCTCCTCGTTTGTTAAAGTGCCGTCAGCCTGACATGTTCTTTTCAGACTCCCGCTGACCAGTTTGTGTTCTGGTAGACAGTAATAACGCACGTATTCATTTTCATATATTCTTGCTGCAGATACCGAGGCCGTGGCCCCAGGAACATTATGTACCTGACAGGCTAAAATGATAATAGAAATTGGATTTCATTTGATGAGAATGTCATCAGTCATTAGAAAATGTTTATTTCGATTTGCAAATTTTCATTTGTTCTGCGATAAAAGAGCAAGAAAGATTACAAACTTTATAAACTACGCCACAACATTTATTTCATTTTAAGTTTAATCTATCAAAACACATTAAAAGTTTCCTCAAGCATAGGTCTATATTGGAAAAATATATCTTAAAGTGTACACCATAAAAGAAAAATGTCCGGTTTCAAAGCAATCATTTATAATATGCGACTTCTACTTGAAGATATGAAATCTCAGCGGAGATAAGATAAGCAGCCTACTTACTAGGACACTGTGGAGGATAACAGACTTCAGTTTGTCTGTCAGCTCCAGGACAAGGTTTACCGGGTCCAACAGGTGCTGGGTTATCACATACACGTGTACGGGACCTCAGACCTTGTGTGTCCTTAGAGCCGCATGTTAGAGAACATGTGCTCCATGATCCCCAGGACCCCCAAGCTCCATCTGGAACACACCTTTAAAATCTATGCACCATTGAATAGCAACATGAAATTTCAAGATAACTAAAATCAGAACAACATTGATATTCATTATACACTCGGGTAATTTACGAAACTACACTTTAATAAACCAAGAATCGTAGTTTCATATATTAATCCTGCCATATGATGCACTTTTGAACGTATACAGTATTTGCGTCTCATTTATGATATCTGCCCTATTTCATATAAAAAAAAAAGACGCCCCGAGGTGCCTTGTTGATGAAGATTTGTCCAACTCATCTTTATAACAATTTTTTTTTTTTTTTTTTTTTTTTTTTTTTGTTATATTGCATGCACACAGTCCTAGCATGTTCATTTGAATGAAAACCATGCATATAACTAGCGTGATAATTGCTAGCAGCGTTTATACTGTATCGATTCCACTTCATATTTTTTATTTTTTTTTTTTATTATTATTAATTCATTCATAAATCTATGATTTACCTGTATAAGGTTCACATATAAAAGGATACGCTGCACTGCAGCTTCTGTCATTTAATCCTAAGACTTTGCTACCCCAAAAATGCATACAATCTTCCCGGTTGAGGTCATTTGGCTCATTAGGCAGCCACAATGAACTGTCTATGGGTTCGTTGTTAGAGTACCATATCCAGTTTCCATCATTCTTAGGCTCTATGCCGTCAACCCAGTAAAATGCATACACTAAAACACAGAAATGAAGTTGTTCTTTCATGAAAATGTCACCTATATTGTTTATGACATTATGAGGCAGAAAAACATAATTTTACATGAAGCATTTATGTGAAAGAGAAATATGCTTACTTGTTTTTTTATATTTTTTGTGATTCTTAAGATTTTTTAGATTTCATGGTGTTTCACGTAAAGTTAATGGCGAAATACGAGGCATGTTCAATGTTAAAATGTTACAATAGGGTGAGCAGAGACTGTGCTATATGATTTGAGGGTAGGGTCCAAAAACCCTATGGAATAAACTGAGCCAAAGGACGGAACGTCCCATAACCCATCTGTCTACAAGATGTAAAGGGCAGGTTGAGCTTTTTAGTTTATATATCATTATCAAGATTCTTTTTTTTTTTCATGCTTGGTATGAAATACAACGCCCTTTTTAAATCGGAATTTTGTGGCACAAAACACCCCGCCCGCACTTACTTCCTCTGCCGGTCATGTAGTTTATCAGAGTGTCCCTTTTGGATACCGTGTCTACGACAGCTAAATGAGCTCCTTCGCTTTCACATTGACGGCGCGCAGCGTCCCAGTCCAATTCTGGATACCTGTGAAAACGAAAGCAAGACGATTCTAAACGGACATAGTAGCTAGGACACTGCACCAAGCCTGCCACCAGTTGTACATGTATACAGCATGTACTGACAAAATATCCTGTGAGGAGAACTCGTATTGGCACCATAATTACAGCTTAACCTTGCTATACATTCATACTATAGCTAGGTGATGAGAGATGCGTCTTCCAACACAAATACTCGACAAGTTTGTCATCTGGACTGTCGACAAACGCTTTTAAGAACGATATGGCCAATACGGGAAGCAGATCATGTTGAATCATATATTTATAGATCGTTCACCGCGAGTTTGGTGTTCCTTTGCCCTTTATGTAATCTATAAAAAGATAAATAATGACCTTTTTATTTTTGAAACTGAAGTTTGATTAAAGTCTTAACGCCATTTCTGGACACTCAGCCACTCGAGATCAAAAGAATTAAAGATTTTTTGTTTGCCTTAAAACAGAGATAGTATAATGCGACAAGGTACCCACTAAATCAGTCGTTAGGCTTGATGCTAAGGCAACGTTTCCTACTGTTGATGAGAAAAATTGAAATTATTTCTCAAGGCCTTGATATTTTTCCGATGACAGTCAGTCATTTCCCCTGAGACCTGAAAATAAATTCTACTCTGTTGAACGTCTACATAAAATTCAGATAAGACGTCTAAAACATTTAAAGGCAGCACTGCGCAGTCCGAAGACCTTGTTGTTTTATATATACACATTACATCGTCAAAAAGTAAATCAATAAATGTACGTATAACCTTTTATTTTCAGTTCTGGTGTGACAGAAATGGAAGTCCACTAGGAACCGTAGTCTGCTTCTCGTTACTTTATACAGGTGACATTCATCCCATATACTAACCCCAGTACTCCAACTAACCCTTAAGCCTAGATTACATTTACATTTTATTATTATTATTATTATTATATTTTTTTATCGTGAGGAGCTACGGGCTACGCTGAGTAGGCCTATGTCTACATTACATGGCCTTAAATCCAAACGAAGAGGGTATTACGGACAGTACACGTGCACCGTACAGGCATTTTACATCTAATCTAGGCTTAATCTGTACTAATCATATGGGACCCCTGACTTCCACTTCTAGGACTTCCATTCCTGTCAAACAGGCACCTGTTATATGGACTAAAATGAGAAAAAAGTAACCAGAAACACCATTATGATAATATCTAATGACGGGGGTCAAGTATGGAATGAAGCAAAAAGATCTGAACATACCGAGACCGGAGAAAACTAAATGATTATTTAGGAGATGAGAAGTAGTGTTGTCTGTGCACTAGTATTATAAAACCCGATTCTACCTAATTAATAATAAAAGTGTTATAATAATAAGTTTATAATAAAATTATATACTCTAGTTTAAAAAACATTCCACTTGTAATCATTTCTAAACACGCAAACGCACAGAGAGTCTGCAAGTTAAAGGACAATGTTCATGTAAAAATCCATTTCT